GGGTTGAATTTTCTTGGTGTCCGCAAAAAGCCAATTTGTTCAGTGGAAATTCCAAAACTCATTTTTGGATACGAAAACATTTTAATTCAGCGTAAGGATACTTTGCATCGCAACATATCCAATAAAGAAAAGCAAATCAAAATGTTTATCAGAAATGACTATATCGGAAGAAGAAATAAACGAGCATATATTAACAAGAAATATCATCGGCGTTTTCAGAAAAAAAGAAAAACTTAAAATCCTTGCCTGTTTAGATGGACAAAAAATCGCTGGCAACCGTCTCAGCTGCATACAGAAGAATTTACAGGAAAGTATAAAAAGCTAGATACATTAAGAAATACAGCAGCCCTGTCACAAAGCCTTCGTTCAATTAAGAGAGAAGAAAATGAAGTTCTGTCTTTCTTTAACTTCATTTGAAAACGGGTTTTTCCAGAGAAATGAGTCAATGCGATATCGGGCAATAACGAATTAGCATACGTCGGCCTCGCAATTGATCGAAGGTAGTCGTACCGATATAATCTTCGTACTCTGCACTCCGCCGAGCGATCGCGCGAGAGGCGACGTGAGCTTGTATTCGCGAACGATATATTCCGAAGATCGCGAAGGTTATCTGGACGCGCACGTGGAGTCCTTCATCGACGCGACGAAGTCACGAGGATAATCGAGACGCGCGTGGCTCGTCGGCGGTATCGATACTCCCCTTTCATTGACCTGCGCGCTGAATCGAGCAAATGACGAAGAGAGAATCGTTACGTTCTCCATGTTCTGGATCAATGACCGAACAAGTGCAATCTCCGACTCGCACGAATACGCATTTCGAGTACATCGGCGTGCGAGCATGACGTTGCGCTGCGAGAGAAACTTATCGAAGTGCGAAAAATTGAGATAGTCGCGCCTGCGTCGCGATTATTACCACGTATCGGATAAGTTCAATGTGAATCAATGCACTTAATTACACAACTTAATCAGCAAAGCGGAAAGTTTTAAGAGGGCCCTGACTGGAGACGTTTACATTTTTTGATGTCTCGCGAAATAATTTATGTTTTTATGTTAAGATAAAAGAAATTGTCGGAATGGTCGTAAACATTTAATTTTATTATATTCTACATATACATTAACTCGCGAAATAACTGATAAAATCGTATCAGTGTTACAAAAATTTATTTCTTTTAAAAATTCGTTAAAATATATGTAGCAAGATTATAGATAATTTTATGCTAATACTAAAAGATCGTTTTCATCGAATGCCTTTTTCTCAAATGAATTAGTAGTAGATAATTGTTGTGTAATACATTTGATCAATGATGACTTCGTGAGTCACTGAATGTGTAGAATAAATTTTTTCAAAGAAATTTTATTATACAGAGATGTTTTCGAGAGGGGAGGAGAATTAGAGATAATTGTATAAATAGTTGTAATAGATATTGAATGCATATTTACGTGTTCTTACAAAAAGAAAAGGGTATTATCATTTTGTCGCGCATTGAAATACGAGTTCGACTCCGCCGTTTTTGTAAGACTGATGCTGACGTTCGCTTTAGCGCAAAGTGCTAATTCCGTGGAAATTCCACGTTTGTAGACAACGACTCGAGTTTTGGCGAGTCTAAGCGACTTATCACCCGCTGGAGACGGACAGAGTCGTAAACTGAAACGAACACGTTACATTCGTTCGGAACGCGTAACGAAAACGATTCCGTCTGCTGTTGCATAAAGTGATCCGACTGGAAGGGATATCATAAATCAATTTCAGTTAGATAATCGGATTCCTAAAACTGTTTTCCTGTAACCCGTGTCCACGTGTCCTATTACTCTGGCGACACGTGATGAACATATAAACACGCCTTGGCTATTTATATAACCGATACGATTCTGACCGTTTCGTCTTATTTCATAAAAGCATGTTTTTACGAAATTGAGAAAAGAACAGAACAAACTATTTCTCAATCGCTATTTAAAATATTCAGATACATACATTATTTAACTTTCTATTTCCTTTTATCTATTCTATTCCTTTATGTCTTTATCTCGGTGAGACTCTAATATCTTAAATGTAATCGACCCCACGAAAAATGGCCAGGATTCCGACGGAATCTAGAGAGAAAAAGGACCATTATTTTCATCGGAAAATTTTAAGAACATTGTGAAGTTCTACACCGTCATTTGCGTTCTATTGTCATCGTTTGCTTTTCCTTATTTGGACAGGCTGCAATGTACCGGACGAATAAATATGTCCAAATAGAACGAGAGATGTCAGTTTTTACATGTAAGCAGCATGAAAATTCACTTCAAACTCGTCAACGATATATAGATTTTATTGAACTGTTAAAAAAATACTGTGTTTGTTAAATACGCAAAGTTAAAATTTATCAAATCTTATCGATTGTATGTACATTTTTATTGCCTTATGTAATTACCGTAATATTGTGTCCGCATTGGAATAATAACTGCAGCGTACGTGTCTATTTTATCAATACGTTAGTCATTTATTCGCCGCGGTGAATGATTCTTTATAACTGATTAATTATAGACTTCAAACTTCAAGTGTCCGTGAACACGAGAACGAAGGCGGTTATCAGCGGCAGGTATGAAGCAGGTTATTCACCCTGAGATGCAGGTTTATCATGACAAACGACTCGATCCCGAAACGAAGTATCGGTGAGGGAAAATTATCGTATAGTAACATCGATGCAAGGCATCGATTGTCTCCGGTGACTTCGTGACTGCTTTCTGGACTTTTGAACGAACGTTGCGTGTTTGTTATATAGGAATGTACGCGGAAATGCACAGTTGAATTACGTAGAGAACGCAAAATTCAGAAATATGAATAATTATTATAGATAACATATAAATCGCATATTAAGTAATTAATTGGAGTAATTTATTAAAATTTCTTACAAATATCTTGAAAATTTTATTCTTTTGTCTTTTATCATATTGATTATGAAATTAATGTGTAACCTCGGTTGTTAATTAGTAGTTAATTACTGCACGAAAATATTGACATAACCGCCATATATATATAACGTACGTATTCTTAATAATTTTATAATACTTCATTAGCGGCGCGAATCATTGGCCATTTAAGAGAGCTCGTGAGATCTCCCCGCCTTTAAACCGTTTGCGTAATTATGAGCTTCATTAAAAGTTTACGAATATTGGCGCTCGGGATGAATGCGTTGGTGATTGAGATTAATTAGATTTACACGTAACGGCCGCCGCGAATTATGACTGTCCGAAATCTCGACGGGCGACGCGTCTGACCAAATGACCCCGAAGATTTGATAAGAGGAGGCAACGTCGGTGCAAAGTCATCGATCGGCACAATTTGCGAATTGTGATGCAAGCGGCCGATTATGAGACAGCCCGTTATTTCTTCGCGCGGCACGTAGGCATTCATTGCGAAGTGTAATCTGCGCAAGCCGGCCAGTCAAAATATATTCGCGTCAGCGTATCCATGCGCGCGGAGTAATATTTTCAATCGCGATAAATTGCTCATAACGACGTTCATCACTTATTTACCATCAATGTTGAATATGCGTTTTATCGTGAGCCGATTCTTCACTTTCGTTTCTAACTTGGAGCTTTAGGTAACTATATAAAAGTTTATGTAATAAATTTAATATCTACGTGTCTTATTTATCAATTATTGTGATAATTGATGAATATTTTACGATAAAATTAGTATTATGATGTAATATGATTTAAAATAATATATAGCATGCAGAAGAAATACTTAAATTAATTGATACTGGTTCAGATTTTCTTTTTTTAAATTGTTAGTTATACAGTAACAACAGGATAAGTTAATAATTTAAGTACTTTAAATTATAATAAATATTAAAAAACTGCATTTTTCCTCGTCTCAAAAATTGTGTGGCAATACAATCGTCATTACGTGATTTAAAAAGAAGATTATATATATGAAGCAAGATATATTTCTTTATTTCTAATTGTAAGTCATAATAGTTCTTTATTTCGGTTCACTTTTACAAGAACATAAAATACGATAAAGTATTACAACGTGATTGCGATGTTATCTATAAACAAATAGAGATTTTATAGAAATATCTATACTTATCATTACGCAATAATAATGTTCAAATTATCTCTATTTTATAAAAATATTTGTTTATTACTGTTCAATAATTAAGTCCAAATTATCTTTGTGTGTTTTATTATCAGTTCTACACAGCTTACTATCTCGATTAGATAGATTGTTAATTATAAATAATTCTTAATTCAACGTGACAGAGGGAGAGTTCAGATTTGAAGTAGTAATGTGTCAGAAGTGCGTTTCCATTCAATACATGCGACACTAATAAATCTGATCATTAAATAATCAAACGATTTTTCCCAAAGTTTTTCAAAATTTTTGTCTGCGTGCAAACATCGGTCGTGCAATAATTCTAATTACATTTCTAGTCAAGTAAGAGATCAAATGCGGATATCGAAAAATTCAAGATCCGTTTTTTAACCGAGACGAGATCAACAAATTCATTTATGCAACGAATCGTGCAATAAATATTCCGAGGAATAAAATATTTATTTTCACAAAATTCCACGTACCACGTCTATTTCTCCATTTTTCCAAACGAAGTGATGCATTCGACGAGACGCGATGCAGTCGCGATAGCTGTCTGCGCAACGAGCTCGATCGTCGACGCAGCGTTGGTCGCGCCCCACCGCGATCAGGGAAGGACCCCGCGGGAAACCATCTCTCCCCACCATGATGTTCTAGGATAAGAAGCCTCGTGGTCTTGGGCCCTCCCGAGAGCGGGGATCATAGGTCCGCCCTCTACGATAAGTGGGAGAACGCCGATCGTGCGTAACATCGGTACATTTGTCGGGTGCTCTTCACCAAGGCGATCGGCGTATCCCCCACTTATACAAATCGACCCCACCGCCCACGGTGTTCCTCTCTCTGTCGTTCGGCCACCCCTCCATACCAAGGGACTGTTGGGGGCAGTAGATGATTCACTATATAAGACAGGCAAGGACAAGAAGGTGTATGCTAGTACATACAATCCTTCCGTGGCTCGCACATTTCACGACGTGGCGAGCGGCGGCGAATTTGGCTGCGGCGTTGACCGACTTTTTATTCTCTCTCTTCTTTTCCTCCTCCTCTTCTCCTAGTTGGGCTCCTTTTTACCTTCTCCTTTCTTTGCCTTGAAACTACATTGTTATTTTATATCTTTTCGGACCTTTGAACCGTCCCCTTGTAGTTTTCACCCTTCCTTACCACCCTATAGCCGAGACATTACTCAACTTTGTCTCGATAGAAGCAGTCACATATAAGACGTAGAGTTGAACGGACATAGTAGTCCGAGCGGACGGAGCAAACTGTGTCGTTTTTTTTTTTATCAAGAGACTAAGAAAAAGAGAAACGTACGAATATAGAGACTTTGTGCGATATATACGTCAGTGATAACCACGCAACGACAGGCACTCGAAGACATTTACCAGCGCTTCGAGATCACGGATCCTTGATCAATCGGTGGTCTGTGATCGATACAAGATGCTGGTGGAACCAATCATGCTGTGGCTCTGGCACAAAATGGGCGGAAGCATCAACGAGGTCCTTTGCACCCTTTCAGTGTTCGCCTGTGTTTTTCTACCGGTTTTTCTTCTGGTAAAGCGGATAATATACATCAAAAACTTGCCGCCCGGCCCATGGGGAATGCCGATCTGGGGCTACTTACCCTTTATGAAAAGCCCCACGCACTTGCATTTCCACGAGCTGGCCAAGAAGTACGGTAAAATATTCAGCGTCACCATAGGCTCCGGATTGACCGTCGTTATCAGCGATTATCGCATCATCCGCGATGCGTTCAAAAGGGAGGAGTTCAGCGGCAGGCCGCGCACCGACTTCATGAGCATCCTCGACGGATACGGTAAGTGTCAAAAGCACAGCAGATTCCAATAATACGCTTTAATCTCGCGACTTTAGCACGCTCTCGTATCGTCGGGGCGGGTTAAAGCACTCTGCCGGCTCGCTCGTCTTTCGCACGATTTCCACATTTTATCGTTCTTCGCTCGTGCCGCGCGTCGGGATTATTCTCAATATGCTGGCTGATATCGGAAACATTTTTTTCTTTAGTGCGTTTTACTAAGCGAAACTAGCAAGACATAACGAAATTGGAATACGACATTCGAGGAAACTGTACGGGTGACTTCTCTTCCGTGATCTACGATATTTTCCGAACCGTCGCGTTTCCAATCGGTCACGGCTATTGATTTCCACGGTTGCTTCTCGGTCAATGCTAGCTTGTGCTTCGAAATGTTGCAATCAATCGTCCGCGAACCGATCGATACCGTGAAAACGAAACGAGTCCGCGGATGACGCGCCGCATATGAGAGAGTTATCGCGGTTTCCGTGGCTCAGCATCGTTCTCGTTGCTGTTGCAGGCATCATCAACACGGAGGGTGCCTTGTGGGAGGATCAGAGGAGATTCCTTCACAAAAATCTTAGAAGTTTCGGCATGTCGAATATGAGTCGCGAAAAGACAAAAATGAACGAGAAAATCATGGTTAGTACCAAATTTGAATTTATAATCCTGCAATTTGTTGATTTATATAGCGAGTACTATAAAACTTTTAAGATGCGTATCTAAGCATCTCTACGTGATATTTTAAAATTGCGATATATAAAATATATCATTTATAATTTAATATAATACGAAGGAGATATTCTCGAGATATACGTTTTTCTTTAATTTATCAATATTCTGTACTTAAATACAATATGTAAAAATTTTTTGTAATTAATTACTAATATTTTGTTTTATATTTATATTTTGTACTTAAATACAATATATAAAAAAATATTTTTGTGAATACGATATTGATAAAAAATTTTTATCGCATGAAAATAAATTATCACAAAATTTAATCCAAAATACCGTAAAATAAACGATCACAATATTTTGATTTAGCACGAGGTCGAAATGTTTCTTAACCGAGTGGAGTCGAAGCGAGGGGCTCCTACAGACATCTCGTCCTATCTGGCTCTGTCGATCAGCAATGTCATCTGTAAGCTTACAATGAGCGTTCGCTTCCACCTTAATGACCCGAGATTCGAGAGGTTCATGAAACTCATTGACGAGGGATTCAAACTCTTCGCTTGTTTGGCGTCTGTGAATTACATACCACTGTTCCGCCACCTACCATGGTTCCACGATATCCGAAATAGGATCTCGCAGAATCGAGCGGAGATGGCTGAGTTTCACCAAAACATTATTGATGACCACAAAGATAAATTCAAGAAGGACAGCATTAACGACATCACTGATGCCTATATACACGAAATTCGGCAAGCCGAGAATGAAGGTCGAGAGCTTTTCCAGGGAAAAGATAAAGGTGAGCAGAAATCAATTTTTTCAATCGATTTTTTCAAAGTGTACGCTACGTTAGTCCCACGTATAAGCATTATTTCAAGTAATATTAATAACATTATATTCGTAAAATTTAATGATTTGTAATACGAACATTTCTTTGAACGGCTGGTTTTTTTTTTTCTTTACGCAGATCGTCAAATGCAACAAATTCTGGGCGATCTCTTCTCTGCGGGTATGGAGACAGTGAAAACGACATTGAAATGGGCGGAGCTTTTCATGGTGCTCAACCCGGAAATGGCAAGGGAGGTACAGGACGAATTGGATAGGGTTGTAACAAGGTCAAGATTACCCACGCTAGAGGATCTTCCCAACCTTCCAATCACAGAGGCAACGATTCTAGAGGTTCTTCGCAGGTCCAACCTCGTACCACTTGGAACCCCGCATGCTACCACACGGTAAAACTTTACTATTTCATCTTCGATTTGTTCCCGCACGATTCTTTGACGGAAATGCTCTTTGTTGTCCATTCCTTTTCTCTTTGTTGTCCTTTCCCTTTCTCTCTACGTGAGCTAAGATTTCACAACGGGTCCTCGCCTTCCTCCTCGGCGGCTTTCCGTCTGACATATCCCTCGTGCCTCGCTCGTGCGCGCGCGACCGTTTCGGATGATTATATTCGGTAAGAAAAAGTGAAAGCAAAAGGTGTGTGGCCTCTTGTCTGCTTTTCGGCTGGGTCGCCCCGCCTTTTCGAGGCGCCTTCGAGGTCGATGACACCGTTTCACAGAGAGCCTGTTTGAGCCGAGGCAGATGGATCGGATATCGATATCTATTGAAAATAGTTGTTAGGAATAATCGCGCATGAAAGCAGTGTTAGAAACGGCGCGGGCGGCACGGTTTCACTTCTTTGCGAAGAACGCGGCCAGAAAGAGCGTGACGAGCGCACGTGCGTGCGTGTAAAAAGCCAAGTTGGTGACTGACTTCACCAACAGATTAATATCCCGTGACCATTGAAATATAAAATTATCAAACATTAAGCACAGCAATTAAATTTTACGTGAAATTTTAGATTTACATGTATTATGGTTTTTTTTTAATATTTAATAGAAAATTATTGATAACGAAACGAGCCAATTTTTATCGCATATGCTTAATCATAAGAAAACATATCCTGATCCTCTCCAAGATCAATTATTTTCAATCGATTAATCGCCATTAGCTGGAATTTTAGTAAAAATGTTGCCTAATTAATGTTGCAGGGACGTGGAGTTGGACGGTTATAAAATCCCAGCCGGTACTACCGTCATACCGCTATTGTACTCAGTGCATATGGATACGGAACTCTGGGACGATCCGGAAGCCTTTCGGCCTAACCGTTTCCTTGCCGAGGACGGTAAAGTCCGTAAGCCGAACTACTTCATACCCTTCGGAGTCGGTAAACGAATGTGCATGGGCGAAGTGTTGGCACGCATGGAACTCTTCCTGTTCTTCAGTTGCATGATGCACAACTTTAACTTGACCCTGCCCAAAAGCGCCCCTTTGCCCAGCTTACGTGGCAATGTCGGTATCACAATATCGCCGGAACCCTTTGAGGTTTGCTTTCTGAAGAGGCCTCTTCAGACCAACGTGATGGCCTATATGGCCAATAACGCTGAGGCCTCCACGCCTATTCGTAACATTGGCAGCCATTAAGTGTCCTCAACGGATTCCAGTACACGGGCACGGTACTTGTTCCTATTGCCACAGGAGAGGCGAACAAAGAGAAGAGATCCGCAAGTCGCGTGCTGACGCCATGGGGATCCCATCCACGCTCAGGCATGTGCGCATCAGCTGAGATGGAGACCCGTAAGATTATCTAATTGTACGATTAATTGTCGGAGAACGGTCGAACGTTCACGCTTTGTCGAAACCTTCACGTAAAATCAAATATTTGCAGTAAATCTTGACATTGTTATAAAATTACAGATTCACTTCACTAAAAAATGAGGGAGTTTAGTTAAAAGTTTAGTTCTGTTAAAAAACCTAAACTAACTTTTAAAAACTAAAAATTCTCTGAAATTATACATGAACGATCGTTCTCTGGAATCTAAAATAGTATATAATTAAAAATGTTTTAGTGTATAATTAAAAATGAATTGAGTCTTCAAGAACAAAAAAAAATTGATAGGTTATAGAGAGTTACTGAAATAATTTTGCTAATAGAATAGAATGTAAGCTAGGTTCTCGAGCGTGTATCCAATACATGTCTGTCCATTTAATTTTGGCAAGATTTTATATGATTCCCATTTCTAATTACGAAGTTCGTTATTAACAAATATACTTTTTACAATTTTATCTTTTATCTCTAAAATGAGATTTTATCCTTTATATCGAGGTTTTAAAAAATCTACAATTTAAATTATTAAAAAATTAAAAAAAATTTTTTTAAATCATTTAAAAAAATCTACAATTTAAATTATTAAAAAAATTTTGAAAATTCGTGACCTTGCCAATCGTGGTTTCTTTTCACAGCGATTACGAGACAAATAATTTCAAGCTGATAAAAAATTGATTAAGAAAGAAAAGAATAGTCCACCGTATGGTAACGTATCACATATACGAGCTGTGATACCGTTATCATAATCCTATTAAAAATTCTAAGTAGTCATTTTATTTTACTACGCCGGAACCGTAATAATAGATAAGTTTTGGCTACGTATATAATAATAGGTAAATTCGTGGCTGCGGAGGTAGTTTCTTTGTAAGACAGCTAGTCTAACATCGGATGGTCGAAGGAAAGCGGAAGTCCTCCTCGGCTAGCTTAGAGTACAAAAGGAGCATTACTTCGAAGAGCCTACATCTCCTCCCTCCTCCTTCTTACTCTCACAGTCTTTTCCGAACTCATCACTCAATTCCTTAATCGTCCATGAGTATTTATTGCTTTGCAAATGTTACTTTGCTCACCCTTGCTCCTCGCCTCGTATTTATTCGCGCTTAGTTCTAGATCGGCGAGATCGACGGGATTCCGATGTGTCTTGGACGGTTTCGACAGCGATTTCGTGCCTAACGAGTTCGCAATCTGTCGGTTCACGTCACGTTAATGACATTAATGACTCCAAATGCAACGAAACACCGATTTCGTGCCTAATGAATAACGTCAATTTTGCCACATTGTACTAAATCATGGCTCGTATCGAGGTGTTTCGTCTCTCGAAAGCTCTCAATTTGACACGGTTTAACAACGTTAACGACTTCAAAAAGTGATCAAACGATACCGATCACGATCCCGAACGCCGTCGACTCGTCATAGATCTCCGCGGACGAACGAGGATGGCGGCTCATTATCCGATGCTCCTCTTTCGTTCACGATAATAACAGTTATCCGTTATTAAGACAGAGAGAAAGACAATGAGCGAGAGAGAGAGAGAGAGAGAGAGAGAGAGAGAGAGAGAGAGAGAGAGAGAGAAAGACAGTATATTTGCGTATGTAATGTTAGGTTGCATGTAAGTAAATAGATGATAGATTTGAGCGTGCGTGAACGTTAGCGTGTATATTTGCTGTACGTATTTTTAATATTATATACATAGCTGGTCGACGAATCACGTGCCGTTTGACGAGAAAATGCGAGACTGCCCTTGCACCCGAGACCGCTCGCGCCCAATATAGTTAATTTTTCTAGCGATTTTCTAACAGTGTGGGTCGTGCCAGTGTACTGGTCGATCCAGCTGGACAGAACAGGCCAGGCCCGTGAGCGATTTTCGTGAAAGTCGCCGTTGTGAGATTCCGTTGCGACATCCGCCATTCGGCGGACGACCACACAGCGCGGCGCGGCGGCCATTCGGAAATGAGAAAATGGAAAAAAAAATTATGTATCAAGCAAACATCGATCGGGCCGATCGGATTGATCGGCCGCTACAGCTTGGGTGCGAGCGCGGGCTGAGGCTGTGAATCTAAGAGACCCCGGGATGTACGGTCGACGAATCATTGTGACGTCGTGCAGTTCGATTTCCCAAAGATATCCCAGGCTGTGCATCCTAAACAGCGACGAGAAGCCGCGCGGCGACGTCCTGATCTCTGAGATCAAGAGGGCGAATCCGAAACGTGTAAGCTTTTAAAGCGTACTCGACGACTGACGGACCCCTTTTAGCGGGATCGACGCCGCGCGGGCAAAGCTCCTTCGCTCAAGTATCCGATAGAGATAATTAGTCTTACCACATAGCATGCATGAATTACAGAATACCGCATTGTGTTCACCCATCGTCGACAGCGAAGAACATTTAACGTTCTTCTTTTTCTATGAAATAAAGATGTGTTTTACAACTGAGGTAACCGTCCGATAAGTGATTCATCCCTACCACCACAGTCCTAAAAAGATACTCGTTTTGTTAACAAGAATCCATTAAAAAAAAAAAAATAATAATCAGAAGACATTCATCTCAGATTCTGAAAAGATTTCAAAATGCGATGCAAACTTGAAATGATTCTTTTATTCTGTATTTTATAAATCATAAAACAACAAGCGTATTTAAGCGAAATAACAGTATTTAAGTGCACAGAAATATCGCTAGAGATTTCGATGGATATGCCAAGAAAACATACATTACCATTCGTAACGGTGACAAGTGTTCATCGGCCGAATATATATATATAAAAAAAACTTTTGAATTCTTTATCGATCGTTCCCGCGAAAAATTTCGTCTGGAAACTGCAGTCTTGGGAACCGGATTCTTAAAGATGAGTAAAAAAAACTTGTGGTTCTTCGGCTGCATACACCATCGGCCTTCGACTCTGATCTCCGTGATCGCGCGCCCATCCCTTCCTGTCGCTGTTCAATACTTGGAGGACTTTTGCTCGGGGCCTACGAAAGAGAACTGAGCTGGGCCTAGCTTTCTCTTCCACTGATCCGCTCAGTCTCGCATTTGGTAAAACGCTTTTTTTTTCAATTCGTACAGGCATTCGTATTCTGCTGTGGCAAAAAACAGTCATGAATCTGATCTCGCTAGCTACTTTAACTGGGTGAGATTAAAAAAAAAGGCCGTAATTAGCGTCAAATTGCGAAAAATTATTGTGTACTTTACTGGATAATTTTCGTGATAAAATCCTGTTTAAATGTTAAATAATAATTTTGAAAGGACAAGATTTTCATATTTGTTAGATGTTGGTTGTGATTGCTGTTTTTAAGATTTTTCTTAGCAGAAATTAACGGCTTATATACATAGCTTGAGCGTAATTGTCTGTTACGGTAATTAATTTGATATTTTCATGTATAAAATCTCGACGATTCCCGAAATTGTAAGAATAAGAAAGCTTTGAAAGCTGTTGGGGTAATTATTCACTGGTCAATAACTCTGTCAATAATCACGCGAGTTGACTCGTACGAACGGTACGTAAGATTCACGGCGGCACTTCAGAACGAGAGACGAGCGCGCTTGGCGCGCGCTTACATAAGAGAAACTCGCGCGTTCTGGGTTTCTAACGAAATATCGTCGCCGAGTACATTACGCCGGGGTAAGGTTAATGACACGAGAGTCAAGTGGCCCCAAACCGCGCGCAAGTTACGTAAGGTCAGCTCGGTCGGCCGCCGCGCCGCGCGCCGGTGCGTCCCGGGGACGTGCATTGATAATGGCGCATTTCCCGCAATATTCGTACACGCGAAAAACGCATCTTCGTTGCATCTGCTGTGCAACCGCGACACGTGGCGCCTGCTGCCCCAGTAAGGGCCCTTTTACCTCGCGCTTCGGTATGTAACTTCGTGGCCTTTTCTCGCCGAAGAGTCGGTCGAGCGCCAACTGGCCCGCCACAGTAAAGACAGAAAGTTTGAAGAACCGTTGCTTCAAGGCTTGGCTCAATGAAGCAGGAAGAGGCGTTTTGTGGTTTATTTTCTTCCTTTTTTTTATTGCCCAGCACAAAGTTGAAAGTATGTTAGAGCAAGATCTCTTTTTATGGCCCCGAGAATCGCTTGGATTTCTTCATTTCTATCCCGATAGAAATTCGGCTGAATATCACGATGTAATCTGTCAGAAAGTTAACCGATCGTTTCCATGTAAGAATTGATTGGCGTTTTGTTTCGTTCGTCGATTTTACCTATATTATGTGTATGCATTTACATGCACTTGCATTTTTTCCAAATTTTAAATGGACTTATTATTTGTTGTATCAATTTTATTTATCTTGTACGTTACCACAATCGCAAAAAAACTATCTTACAGCATTTCTTACGATTAGTAAAAGTCATTAATTTATTCCTAGGTGTATTTTACCGTTAATATATCTATAGAATGTCATCCATCTTACTATATGGATAAATAACTAATTTAGATCAGAGAAATAAACCTAGGGAGCCCAGTAAGATTAGTTGATTCCTTTACAAGTCAATTTCGCGTTGGCCGTGTGATTTTATATTCACAATGCGATTCGTGTATCCCCTAATGACATTTGTACGCAAATATAACGTGAATGAGAAGCAGGAAGAGGCCTTCACGAATGCATTCATCATTCATTTCGAAATTCACCTCGACCTTTTCTTTTCCTTTTAACGAAGCCAAATTCCTGGTTCTTTCTTTTCTTTATCTTCGGCAGTATTTTTCTGTGGTTGAAAATGACTAGAAGGAACCGGACTCAATTTCGGCTTAAGTGAACGGTGCGCTTATAATTTATCCAAGGTCGCTATATTGTGAGATAAAAACGCGTGTTGCATAATGCTGACGATATTTCACGAATCCGATGCGTGAAAAAGAAGAGTGGAAAAAGAGAGAGAGAGAGAGGGAGAAGAAGAGAGATATGGAGAAAGAGCGAAGCGAAGGAACGGTTTATGTAAAATCATCTCCAGACGCGCGTGATCGCGTTTGACATTTTAACGGCTTGTGTCCGCGTATTGGAAACGCATGGTGGTAAAAACGCGCCAATGCGTAAAATACGAGCGAGGTGCGTGCGAATAAGTGTACCGCTACGCTCCATTTCCATAGGGTTGGACATTTTCTCGCTGCTCGCCTCGCACCGTGCGCTTTAATAAAGAACGTTCCGTTTAATATCGACGGACTGAGATATTTTGTCGATGTCGAAATATAATTTAACTGCCGCGGTTCGCAATCACAATCACGCTAAAAACCGGCACGCGGACACACGTCTGACATCCTGCAGCATTCGCTACCCATTTCGTTATTATCTGCCTTGTGAGCCTCGGTCTACCCTACATGTAAAATCGAGACGCACTTCGTCCCTCGATTTCGCTCGGCAGACATGTTAATGCAGTAAGCGCAAACAATAGTGAGAGATTCTCGATAAGGAAATGAAAAAGCTTTTTAAGAAGAAATGCCGAAATTCCTAGATTCTTTCTTTTCTTTGTCTTCGTAGATACCTTAAGGTATCCTGAAAACAAAGAAAAGGAAGAACCTTTGGCAGGTCTTTTTAAATCTTTTTCATTTCCTATCTTCTTTTCGATTAGTTGCCACTCTCTCCATTTTATCTGAATAATTTCCGTCCTCTCTTTTATCTCAAGTTCAATGACTTATTCTTTCTATGTATTTCTTAAAATTTCTTAGCTTTTCTGATTAGGTCTTATAACAGCTGTATTGTCGCTCCGCTCTTTCTGGTGCACTCAATTTTTTGTTGAATTTCTGATTTTGACGAACTTTGATAAACTCGATAAGCTTGCAATATGCACCCAATAAAATTATTATTATTATAAAAGAATTATGACAGATTCTATTAAATAATATCGTGTATTTCAGTAACGTTTGTGATATAACTCATTACGATTTGACCAAGTCCTCGGTCCTTGAGAAAGAAACGTAAATTGGCAGGATCGTTGAACTTTTAATAAATGTTGACATAATATGCAAAAAGAACGAGCTTGTTAATGTGTATGTTAATGTAATGTAAACGATCACTAGTCGAGTAAAATATATATTCTGTTTAAAGTTTATATTCGCAATCACAAACGGTATGAAGAAGTTCACAATAAAAGCGTGAAATATAACAGTTAAAGTATAATGATTAATATTTGGAGTAAGAGCTAATAAAGGATAAGTATTACTATCAATTATATTTATTTAATATAAACGCGTACTTTATTCGCATACAGAAAAAAATAAAGCACGTATACGTAGACATAATATCTTTATGAAATTCATATGTATTTTATTTTATATAATGTCACACATATAAGAAACATTGTTGCAAGTGTATATAAGCTTATTCCCGCGATGTAAAAACTAAGCGATGCGCTTTCGGAATCAGGGTAATTCCACACTCACCCTCTAGATCGATACGCATACCGGATGGCACGGAGATAACAAATGAATGAAGAAATCTTGCGGCGAACAGAAATAATATCATCTTGGCCAGTTCGTCACCGACGCACATACGTTTACCTATCGTATTATATGAAACAACAATGTATACGTTTAATATCGTGCGAAACCGTTTCCGATCTTACCGTCTCCCACGTAAACCTACCTGCTTGATACGGTAAAAAGGCTTTTGGCTTGACGAGGCTTCCATCCTCAGCAATAAATCTCTCCGGTTTAAACGAGAGCGGGTCGTGCCAGTACGAAGGATCGGTATGAATAGCCCATTGCAACGGAACAACCATAGTGCCTTTCGGTACATCGTAATCGCCTATTTGTGTGTCCTGAATGCAAATCATCTTGAGAGTTCACCTCAATTTTCATTTCGCGCGCACAGAAATATGTAAGATTAACCGTTCGATCGTTTGTTGCTGACGTTAATCGGCCGCGAAGATATTAAATAATTATTAATGTAAGTCATAATTAGGCGCGTTCGACTTCATGGAATGAAACGGTACGAAGAAGCACCGCGCTGCCCATTGATTCTTTCCATTCTACTTGTCACCTGCCACAATTACCTCTATTGTTCCGTGAGGGATGCCGACCGGTACCACGCTCCGCAATCTTTGCGTCTCTGCGATGGCCGCCTCCAGTCGAATTAAAAGCAGTCTGTCCTCCAAGCTGGGTAGCTTTTGTCCCAACAGCTCGTTCATTTCGTCCTGAATTATTTTCTGCACAGAGAGACAAGGACGCATAGGGTTCGAAGAGATTGCACGGCGGGCCGATAACTTTCCATTGAGAGGAACGTTCGCTTAATATATTATCTCTTACGAAAAAGCATAAATTTTCAAGGATACAGGCGTACTTGCTCGTCCGGATGTGCTGCCATGAAGAGCAGGAACCAACGGAAAGTTGTCAAAGTTGTATCGGTGCCTGCGCCATAAAGATCGGCTAGCAGGTGATAAAATTGCGGTTGTGTGAAATATCCATTGTCCTCATTGGTACTCATTGCCTCGTCGAAAGCCGCGAGGAAGCTATCCATTTTCTCGCGTCGAGCACGATGCTCGTCGATAATTTTTTGATATTCCTGATGCGTTTTTAACTTGCCACCGATAAGTGACTCCATTACTTTTCCATATCGTGGCAAAAATCTAAATAATTAGAGAAATATTCAACAAAAGAATTTATCACTCAAATTATGTCGGTTGAAATTAATTTTTTTTAACTCTCAAACGCAATGTAATTTCGCTGTTATTAACTGTTAAAGTATGATCGGTTAATATCTTTAAATATACTTTATTTATATATGTAAAGAAATATATTGTTCACGTATAATATACGCCATCTAAACAAAATGAATATATAAAAGAAGATAAAAATTCGAAATAATGTGTCAGCGATTACAATATCCGTTTATTGACGATGTAATTACGTTATCTTACATCCGCTTTACCATCGTTAGAATAAGCTAATTTGATTTTATAATTATAACCTTTTGTTGAAGACGTTTTATCGACAACCTTCCAGTCTAACTTATGCAAACTTAACGTGATGATTTTGCATGAATAAAAATGTCCTTCGCGCTATTTTTTTAAAACAAAGATTTGTACTTGCTCTTTGCTATACAGTTCAATTTATCATGTCACTTACGTACGCACAAAAAGGCAGTTGCCTACCTTTCCATGTTTATCGCACAAAAGCCACCGCCTTCGATGAAAAACACGGCATTTTTTGCATGGTATAAACACTGAATAAATCATTGTCGCATCGTCAACGTGTTAATGGCTGTGCGGATCAATTTACTCAGTTTTTTTCTTCACAATAATGGTTTACTTTTCGTTAGGAGGATGAAAATCATGTGCTATAGGTATAAATCGGCGAGGATTTTCAAAGGATCTCTGTCAAGAGATATTGTCGTACCTGAGAAACGGCAAAAAATTAAGTGGCCCTGCTACTCCGATATGCTTAACTCCTTCCTCTTGCAGGTGTCGCAGCCATTTCCACACCTGGTCGTTCTCGTTGTAAACTTTACCAAACACGAGATCGTTCATCATGTTACCCACACAATGATGGAGCGTCTCGAGGGGATCAATACCGTCTTCCATAGTGAGCTCTTTTAGTTTCTAAGATATCAATGAGGAAGGTATTTCGTCATTATTATTAATCTGCTTCCCTCTCCATATGCCTTTGGTTAACGTGAAAAGATTTTGAAAAATACGCCCGCAATACTTCAAATTCGTGTTCTTATATTACGTTCCTAACATAACGGATTGTCGAGCAAAAATTTTTCTTTCGATATCATATGCGCCTGTTTTTACATTAAGACTGTTAAGCGAAAACGATAGCATCGAAATGTCATGCAGAAATTAATAGCTTCATTAAATGCGATGACATTTCCAGATAAATAAATGTTAACTTGAGCACGAGTTGAATATTCCTTCTGGAATGAAATGTTCGGTCATCGACATACTCGTTTAGGGGCAGATTTAGTGACACGACGGCCTTGTGTTAAATACTCTGGACGCTTAATTTACCGACGTGCACTCGTTCACGGCTACGAGAATCCTTTGTTCCATTTTGTCCCTTTTGGTACCGGGTAGTTTCGTCATGCCGAAATTCTTCAGGCATCCGGCTACAAATCTTCTTTGATCTCTCCAGAGATCACCCTCCGCGCAAATGAGACCTGCGGAGTGCATAAAGAAACGCCGATAAAGATCGATTCTCACTATCGGTAAGGCACGGTCCGGTCACGAGAAGATCCAAAATTGTTGTCACTAAATTCAATGCTTTTTCGAGTTTGCGTTCACACTGCCGGTCACGCTTGACCGTGTGTGAATGCAAACTCAAAAGAGCATTAAATTTGCAGTGTCAATGCAGACTCGAAAAAGCATTGAATTTATTGGCAATGATTTTTGATTGATCGTGACCGGACCGTGACTGGACTGTGACTTAACCGATATGATAGTGAGAATATCGACCTTGAGTCTCGTTCGAATTTCCTCTTTCCTCTCTTTTTTTTTCTTCCCTCGCACGAAGGCGATCCTCGTCGCACCTTAATCACGCGGTCATAAATAAGCCGCCACCCGAACGTGCCTCCGTCGCGTTCCCTCTTTCAGCGTGGAGGCGAGCCGCGCTTCGTGGTGGGAGGGTGTAAAAAATAGCGAGAGGATTACTGTCATTCCGTAAGTAGGCGCAGCCACTGAACTCGCCGAAGGATAATCCTCGAATGAATAAACAATAATCTCTCACCGCACCCACTCACCCACCGTCCCTCTCTTCGGCGCGCGCGTGTTCGCCGCATAAACCAGACACGGCGGTCGTTGATTAATAGCGATCGCGATTGCTGATTAGGCTGCAGATGACGGCGATAGTGACAAAGTGTTCATCGCCGCTGACGTTATCCGCTCGATTCCTTTTGTTTTCCGACTATTACCATCGATTCCCTTTAATCGCATTTTCTACCAGTCTCCCCTTTTTTCGTGCTCGTGCTCACTTACTGCATATTATATTTTTATCTTGTATTTATTTTTTCAAATAGAAAACATAAAAAAGATGATAATGACAATTGAGCACAAGTACAAGTACAGATAGAATCTCACAGATGGAATCAATTTAAATTTACTCTTATATGCGCGCAGCAATCGCGCTTAATTAGCTCAATAGGAATAGCAATTATATGATTTTTATATACGATGCTGGATAATTAAAGGATTATTAAGATCGAGAGACAAGACTTCGCGCCGAAGAGTTTATGCATCTGCGCGACGACGGTGAAGGTGTGTCGCTTATGTACATCTGCTACGTCGACTTTGCAGCCAGATCACACGCGAGTGTCGCCGGCGCGAGAATGATCTCGGAATCTTGATCATCGGTCAATGAGATTATCGAGGTTTACGGTCGATGTGCCGCGGGAATACAGATCGGGATCTGCGGCGTGCAATTTGTCATCGTGGTATCTCGGATTATCTACTCTCTCTTTCTTTACGTTACGCGCGAATCCCTTATCAGTTATATAAGAGAAAAAAAGACGAACAGAAGTACACGTATATATCGCAAGCACATATATAGCAAGACGTCACGATTTTTAATCGACTGTTGGCCGGGAATGGGGTCCACCTTGATTTTTGGCCGCGCATGTTTCCACGGAACGAAAGCGAACTCGCATCGCGGGAGAGACGAGTATTTCTACGAATTTAGAATTCGTCATTTTGCACACTCGCGAGAGCGACGAGCGCCGAGAGAAGAAATAATGAAAGTCCGCTAGGGTATAAACAGGTCACTGCGCGATGCGTGTTTGCGATACTATTTATCATTCGCAGCTTGTTCTAAGAGGCAGCAGCGCTGTCGATAGGTCAGTGTCGTATTTAAATGACGCCAAGAAAACTTTCCGGGATCGCAGGTGCGCCACGTGTGCATTAATCTTTCTGCTTGATCGATCTTAAATTATCTTCGAAGTTCGCACGAAGAAATAAAGTTCGCAACGTATAACTGAACTTTCGATTATAAGATAAAATTATATTTCTTCGCACAGTATTTCTTATAAGAGAAAAATAATTAATTCAAGGCAATTAAGATTTATTTTGAGGCACACAAAAATAAGTGACTGACTATATCGTGTTTTCTTTATTTTTAGCAATTGACTATTCTAATATATATTGCAATATAGTATAAATTTCACAAGAAAATTGGAAAAGTATTAAAAAGAGAAGGGTGAAAGAGAATTGCGTAGCTTTGAAGGAGTAATTTCTAAAAGGAAAAGATTACGTACACGCAGCTCTAACTTTGTAGTTCGCACGTTTGTTTTTCATCCTCGCAATGCATCTGTGCGTGGCAGACGCGAAGCGGGGAAAGGGGCAGATTACGGACAATGAGCTCTCCTTGCCGGTCGATTCTTACGCAACTAAACACCCCGCCGCGGTGATTTCAGGGGATGACATCACTCGGGCACGGCGATCTCCGACGAATTCGCGAACCGCCAGAAATAAACCGGACGAGAGACGGATAATGCATATACACGTTCGAACGTTTCAGGGCCGGTCATTCCACCTCGACCGGCAAAAAACTCGACGAGTGCAGCAGCGCGGGATGGAGGCGACGCGCGATAGTCGTCCTGTCCAAATACAGTCGACCGATCGATCGTGCGTTTTATGGCGTGCCATTAAAATGCCACGACAGCTTTGTCGGCCGGTTGAAAAGTGTGACTATTCGGTAATGATCCTTCGACGAGTGTCCACGACCGAATTATGCACGAGATTCCTAAGGCTAGCTGCGCGACGAGAAGCCATAAGGAAAATATAAGATCGGTTGTATTAAATAAATATATAGGTATATAAAATAAAATAAATATATTTTGGGGGTTTCTCTTGTTAAAGCGTGTATCTCGCGGCCGCCACGCCAGCTTTTTTGCCCGCAATAATTCATTGTCCTTATATCGCGCAGATAATTGCGAACAATTTTCCGATTGCAAGATTCGACGGATGAGTCAGAATAATCGTCGAAGGGATAATAACTGGTAGTCGAGGAATATTGAACAGCAAATGGTTTAAGAACTGCTCTTTAAAGATCGGAACTATTTTTCTAATTACCTGTTATTATTCAAAGAGCTGATATCGCGATCTGTTACCATTACTCAAAACTGTAAATTAATTTATTTTTTAGACATTGCTGGACATCTTGTTGTTGAAACAATTACGAAGTTTGAGAATTTGTTCCTCGGATCAACGTTGCTACTTTGCTAACTAATCTACCCTCTCATTAGTATACATGTATAAGAGAAATTGATCGCTAATTTTTTTAAACGCATTTATCAGGTTTTAAACGGTCGCAAGCAATTAAATGCTGCTCATTTCCACTTAGCTGATGTTTTTCTTCGAAACTTTCGACTTCTAAGTGAAGTCATTATGATAAATGATACGTATTAAACATATTACCTTATTATTTGTCGAATAATTACTAGTTTGTCAATTCGCACATTAATCGATCATTTTCTAGCTCTAAGGATTAAAAGAAGATAAAAAGTAAGTTAAACCGAGATCAAAGTTAATCTATATTGATAGAAATGGACATTTAGTTTTTATCGAGTGACAGGAAACCATTAAATATCATATTTTTTCTGATACTATGGAAATCGTCGCAACAATTTTCTTTTACGAGGTGTGCACTGTATGCGCAGTATGTATGTACATCTCGACTAATTGCGTCAACTCGTGAAAGCTGGGGGGGGGGGGACTCTAGATGATTACCGACAACCTTCGGGTACGCGGGTCGTGACAGGTCGACGATGTGAACGCCAGTCGTCCATACAACGCTCTGTCGCTCTTAACGGGAGAGGCCGTCGGCCCGTCCTTGCGGAGCTAACTGTAATTCCCCGCGGATGCAGAGCAGAACTGTCGACGACCGGGAGAACTTCCTTCAAGGAGACCGATAAAAGTGAGAGTCCTTCGCATCGGCGCGAGCCGCAGCCGGTCCCGGGTTCGCACGGACGTGCCTAACCTACCCAATTGCAAATAAACCGCTCGTTACGAAAACGGGAAAAAGATTGATGGATCCCGAACGGCAGCCAGCGATCGAACTCGCTTCGATACGTGATCGTTAGTTGAAGGCGCATGTAAGCGCGGGAGACGGCAATTTATTTTAATTACGAGTACACAGTCGTTAACTGATATATATAGGTAACGTTTTCTGTAACAATTGGGCAAGCACTCTAATTTATAATAATTTACTTTTATAAATAAGTTCGTGCTATAAACAAGATTTCGAAACTGGAAGTCGTTCGGACAGAATTGCAATTTATGTTACGGGCATAGCTTTACGACGCAACGATGAAAGCTGTACAAAAGTAGTAGATGCTTAATAATTATGTAGAATGAAAAAAGGGAGACACAAGAATAGTGCGTGGGGAGCAGGATCGCCGCGAAGGAAAAAAATATGAAATTCCACCCACACCCAGTCCGTCGTTCGAAAGAGGAAAACAAGCCGTCCGCGGGAAAATCGCGGACGTCTTACGTCAGTGTTACACGCGCTTGTAACAAGTCAGGCGCGGGAATAGTCTCTTGGAAGCTCGGTTGTGTGTATGTGTGTGTGTAATGTTTATTTTGCACGCGCGCCTGCACCGTTGAGTCAGTGCTGTGGTATGCCAAGTCCGATTGGAAACTGCGACGTTTCTATAACGATTTAGATCATCGGCGTTACGCGAACGTTCGCTTCTGCTCGTTACCTTCTTCGAACCCGTGTAAGAAGAAGCTTACGTGGAGTGCAACTGAATTAAAAGTCTGTCAACTAACCATCCTGCATGTATCGATTCAATTTAATTGAGAATTGAGGAAGGGAGAAGTCTGACATGATTGATATACTTTTTGTTAAATGGTGAAGCGGAAAAGCGCAAATAGAGAAACGAATTTCAATGCTATAATATTCAAGCGGAAGCCTCTCAGAAACCAAACAGATCAACTTCTTTTTTTGTCAGTTTCTTAATTTGAGTACCAGAGCTTATGATTATCTTATATTTTCATTAAAGGGGAAATTGCTTTAAAAATTTTTTTTTACCATATTTTTCTTTAATTTTCTTAGAATATACATATATATTTAAAAATAACAGGCATCAGTATATGAACTATCCGCTGAGTGAACAGTTCACATCCTATTCATCCTATAATAATGACCTAGTTTACATCGATCACTTGA